AGTATATATTTCAGTGTTGTCATCATGAAGAATAGAGATAAGGAGACCGAACTGACACGGAAAAATGTTCGAGAAACACGGCCAAATTGGTCGCTGGACTCTAATTTACTAATGCTCCGCTAGATGGCGCCTCCGTTTGACGGGACCCACACGTACACGCACCGGCGGCTATATGTAGTGTGTGGAAGCAGACGAGACCGGCAACAGCGCACATATACATGCACGATTTTAACTCTCCCCACCACGCTCCACCCTGCAATCTCTCCTCCTCCTCAACTCTAAGCCAATAGCCATCGGGTACCTTCAGATTGCAGTGCCATCATGAAGAATAGAGATAAGGAGACCGAACTGTATGTTCGGGACACGCGGCCAAAACCGATCCCCGATGGTTGTATCTTTAGGTACCAATAGATGGCACTGCAATCTGAAGGTACCTAGAGTACCTCTAGTGAGAGTATGGACACCGTTAGTCGATTTTTGATTGGCTCTTTGATTCGCCATTTGTAACAGGGCAAAGTTTGATCAAAAGTAAGATTTTTGCAGAAATTGTGGTTCAAATCTTGCTTTTGATCAAACTTTTTTGACTCGGGGTCGGGTCGAGTCAGAAATGTTATTTTTAACAACATGACATTGTCTTTATCACTTAGGAGGACATATAATTAATAAAATTATGAAAAAGTGCAATATATATGTGAGAATTGTATTTGTGCAATAGGTAGTAGAAATCCTACTGCATTTCCATATGCAGAAATAACACGACTGCGATGTTTTAAAGAAAATACTCTTTTTTTGTTAATGAAGTCACTTTTAATTTTATTTTAGATATGGAAAAAATTTTTCGGTTTTATTATGAAAATGTACGAAATGTTAAGTCATTTAATGTAAAAGAATTTTATGTTATCCGTTGTCAGGAATTACAGTTTAATATTCCTGATTGTCATCATTAAGACTGAAACTTATGTCTGTGATACCTGTAATAAAACAAAATAATACTTTTGCTAGTAAGAGTGTAGCAATGCATAATAATATAAAATAAAAATAAATATCTCTTTAATTCTTATTTTATTAATTTTCCTTTCATTTATTTTATGTTAAACGAATTTTCTAAAAATTTATACTTATTTCAGATTCATATGTAGAAGTTAATGTGGCTGCGTTCAGATATTCATTACCAGTACTAAAAATCTATACTTTACGTCACGTTCATTATAGATTTTCACTGGCAGTGAATATCGGGATACAGCCTATGGGTGCTTTCCAATTATTTTACACTTTTTAACACAAACGTACACAAGAAGACACAAAGTGTCGCGATGTGCACGACTCAATTGGAACAAAAATATACCACAAAGAGTACACAAAGTAGTATACTATCTATGCTTGGTATTTTTAATCCATGGTGATGATTGAAACTGCGTCACCTAATGTTGATTCAAAATATTTATTACCTCAATGATACTCTGAATATTGCCGTTGTTCATTGTTGAGTAAAAAGAAAAAAAATGTGTGCCGTACTTGCGTATTTTCCTCCTCCCACTTCGGTATTACTTATGCGCCAGAATGATATCAGACGTAACCTCACTTCTTTTTTTCCCTTTTATATAGTAAACCGTCGTAGCGAAGGAATATGCCGACCACTTGTAGCCGCCGTACTTAGTAACTATTATTTGTCACTAGAATACACAAGTTTACACAGCCGACTAGTAGCCCTCAGGGTACTATTACATTTGTCGTACGACAAATTTTTCAAGCGTGTCGATTGGCCGCTGAATAGAAAGTTTCTAGATACTCGAGAATTTTACTATCCTTCAGCCAATCAATACGCTTAAAAACTTTGTCGTACGACAAATGTAATACCAGCCTCAGGCTGAGTACGAATGTGTAGAGGTGTGTCGACATTTGTGACAATTGGAACGCCATTTGTGTCGCCGTGTGCACGAAAGTGTCTAGGGATATTGCAATTGGAAAGCACCCTATATGAAGAGGCTTGCAATTGAAAAATATCACAGAAATGAATTTGAAAAGCGCGCCACAGTTTCCCTGTTAATGTCGGACGTTGTCCATACTCTCACTAGAGGTACTCTAAAGGTACCCGATGGCTATTGGCTTAGAGTTGAGGAGGAGGAGAGATTGCAGGGTGGAGCGTGGTGGGGAGAGTTAAAATCGTGCATGTATTTGTGCGCTGTTGCCGGTCTCGTCTGCTTCCACACACTACATAGCCGCCGGTGCGTGTACGTGTGGGTCCCGTCAAACCATAGACTTCTATAGACGGAGCATTAGCTACGACTCTGGACAAGAGGGGTCTGATATTCGGGGCGCGGGAGGCACTCATCTGACATCGACTCTTTCCGGTGAGACCCAGTGAGAAGGCTGATGTCAAATCGACGTCGATCCGACGTCGATTCATTGAAAACAGATCGACATCGAAATTAACATCGAAAATTAGCCAATTTCGATCAAATTGTTTTAGCATTAATATAAATCGACATCGATTCAACATCGATTCATTGAAAACACATAGATATCGAGATTAAGAGACTACTATATCATATGAGGTGTGCTGGGGCATTGATCATCGATCGATGACCGACATCGATTCTGTAAGAAATATAGCAGCCGCGACTCTACGAGAAGTTGTGTTTTGTACTTTGGTAAAACATTGATTAAAATATTAAAGGGTTGTCCATTAGTACAAAAGTTTGCTTTTATGAAGTTTGCGAGAACTTTAGTTACAACTTTGTTTTTTCCTGAGATTTATGCATTATTTACTTCGACAATACTGTGATAAAATATTTTATTTTCTTCGATAAAATATTGATAAATTTTTTTTACATCGATTAAAATATTTTTTCACAACAGAATGGAGATTGTTCTGATATCTTAATTATTAAAATAAACATTGATTTAATTTGATTATAAAGGGTGTCCCACTAAGACCGCCTATTTTGAATTTAGCACCATTTTGTTTGTGTCGGTCGTACAGCGTTGTTGTTGGACAGTTGTCATGTGTAAACATTGAGGTTAAGTCATGGAAAATTACACGAACGCACAACGCATAGAAATTGTGAAAATCCACTACCGAAATGGTGAGAGTTTTGCGGAGACGGTTCGAAAATGTCGTGGATTTTTCGGTCACCATAGCGCACCTTCTCGTCGTACAGTGGTCCGATTAATTGAGAAATTTGAAGCGATTGGGTCAGTTCAAAGTTTGGACTGTTTCAAAGTTGAACAAATTTCTCAATTAATCGGACCACTGTACGACGAGAAGGTGCGTTATGGTG